ATTGAGTCCAGGCTACCTAGGTCTATGAATTCTGATAATGGACAAGCCTTACAGGTTAGTAGAAATAGCACAAGTTCATTCTCAGAAGGCAAAAAGCATTCTATAAAGAAGAAAATAAAGTGTTTTATTTGTAAGGGACCACACTATGCTAGTCAGTGTCCAAAGAAATCAGAAAAAGAAGACAAGAACAAGACTGAGCCTAGAAAATGTAACAGTGGTCCATTCTTGTGTTTTGTAGCAAAGGAGCACAAGAAAGACAACTTTATTGCAGACTCTGGAGCATCGCAGCATATGTGTTTCCGGAGGGACTTCTTTCACACATATCAGAGGTTTACTTCACCAATTAACGTCACTGTGGGAAATGGTGATGATATTGAGGCAGTTGGAGAGGGAAGTATTCGAGTAAGTGTGAATATTGGTAAGAACCGATACATCACAACTTTAGAGAATGTATGGTACGTTCCCAAGCTAGGAAGGAACCTGATGTCAGTCAGCACAACAGTGAAGAAAGGATTTGGTTTCAAAGTAACTAAAGAAAAATGTGTCTTCATGAAGAATAACGTTGCACAGCTGTATGGACATTGTGTAAATGGACTCTATGAAGTTGAAATGGATGTTCTGTTGCCGCATGCAGAAGCTAAAACAGCGTGTAGTAGTAAACTGAAAACTGTCCAAGAGTGGCATGAATCTCTGGCTCATCAAAATAAGACACATGTGTTAAAAACTCTTAAAAGCAGAGGAATACATGTCAAGGTAGAAGATGAATTTTGTGAAGGTTGCGTACTAGGCAAGCAACACAGAGCTACATACCATTCTCGGACTGTAAAGCCAACAATTGCAGGAGAAATAGTAAGTGGAGATCTCTGTGGTCCTATGGAAAACGTTTCTCTAGGAGGAAGTCGCTACTGCCTGGTTTTCAAAGACTACTTTACTAAATTCAGAAGAGTATTTTTCATCAAAAATAAGACGGAGGTTACAGACTGTATTGAGACATACTTGAATGAATGTCAAACTGCTGGACATGTGGTAAAAACGTTTATGAGTGATGGTGGGACTGAGTTTAATAATTTTGCAGTGAAGAAATTGCTCGCTAAACTAGGCATCACTATGAGAACTGTTATGCCTTATACACCAGAAGAAAATGGTTCTATTGAACGTGAAATGCGCACGTTAGTTGAATCAGCAAGAAGCATGTTGTATTCAAAGAGATTGCCAAAGAGCTTATGGGCAGAGGCAATGAACACGGCGTGTCATGTGATCAATCGGACAGGACCAACAAGTACAGAAGGTACACCTTATGAACTTTGGTATGGAAAAGGACCAGCCCCAATTGAACATTTTCGACCGTTTGGTACAGAATGCTATGTGCATATCCCAAAACAGAAACGGAAGAAATGGTCAGCAAAATCAGTTCCAGGAAAATTGGTTGGGTATTGCGATGAACGAGATGGATTTCGAGTCTACAACGGTCACACAATAGTGGTCAGTAGAGATGTTGTCTTTAAACCTTATCAGAAAGGAGAGGTTGTCAGAGCAGAGGGCATCACAGAAGATTGGGCTAAGACTGTTCCTGATGAAGACAAAGAACTTGACAAAACCTTATCCATTCCTATCCTATGCGAAGACAAGAGTCAGCCAATCAATTTTCAAGAGGAAAATGAAGAAGCTGAACCTGATGAAATTGAATATTGTGAACAACCAGAAGAGGAAGATCGACCTGATGAAATTGAATATTGTGAACAACCGGAAGAGGAAGATCGACCAGGAAGGAAAAGGCAACCACCTAGTTATCTTCAAGATTATGTTCTTGTAGCTGAAGCTGGACCAACATATAATGAGGCCGTTAGTAGTGAAGAGTGGTTTCATTGGCAGGCAGCTATGAATGATGAGATGGCATCTCTTCAGAAACACCAAGTTTACAAGCTCGTACCGTTACCTAAGAACAAGAAAGCAATTGGAGTAAGATGGGTTCTTACAAAGAAGAAAAATCCAGATCGATACAAAGCTAGGCTTGTTGCAAAGGGCTACGCTCAGAAAGAAGGAGTAGATTATTTTAGCACCTACAGTCCTGTAGCAAGATTTGATACTCTAAGGACAGTATTAAATATAGCAGCACAGGAAAGCATGTTTTTGAAACAATTTGATGTAAAAACAGCATTTTTACATTCAAAGCTAGATGAAGAGGTTTATGTCGAGCAACCTGAAGGTTATAACGACAACTCCGGAAGAGTGTGGAAACTACAGCGTAGTTTATACGGCCTTAAGCAAAGTCCTAAGTGTTGGAATAAAAGACTTTCTGAGTTCATGAAATCTCAAAATTTCAAACCGAGTACAGCAGATCCTTGTTTGTTCCTTCGTGAAGGAAATGGCGAAAAGATGTTTGTCATAATTTATGTGGACGATGGACTCATATGTGGTACTTGTGAAAAACAAGTGAATGTATTTGTGCAGAACTTGAAACAAAACTTTGAAATCAAAGTATCAAAACCTGAAACTTACCTTGGAATCGAGATTGTTCAAACAAGTGATGGAATAGTTCTCAGCCAGAGGGCATACTTAGATCAAGTTCTAGAAAGGTATCGGATGTCGAACTGTAACGCAGTGTCAACACCATTTGACAAATCCGATGTCAACACAAATGCAAAGCCTCTATCAACAGAAGTGCCGTATCGTGAAGCTGTGGGCAGTTTGCTATATTTGACAAACACTCGCCCAGACATCTGCTATGCAGTTAGTATGGTGGCACAGCATGTGACTAGTCCAACCATCAAAGACTGGAACCAAGTCAAGAGAATCCTTCGTTACCTGCAAGGTTCTAAGGACTACGTTATACGCTACACGAAGCAGAGCGATGAACCGAAGATTCTGAAATGTTACACCGATGCAGACTTCGCAGGTGATGAAAACAGCAGAAAGTCACGTTCAGGATGTCTATGTTTGTTTGCTGGCGGAGCCATTAGTTGGTTTTCAAAGAAACAAAATTGTATTTCACTATCAACTACTGAAGCGGAATATGTTGCTGCTAGTGAAGCTGCTAAGCAAGTAATATGGCTTAAAGGCTTGTTAGAAGAAATCAGCAGTTCATCGATCGAAGCAACTATGTACATTGACAATGCTGGTGCAGTACAATTAGCACACAATCCTTCAACGCATGGAAGAACAAAACACATCAGTGTTCGGTTCCACTTTGTTAGAGAGCACTTCAACAAAGGATGTTACAAAATGGAACATGTACCTGGAAGACTTCAGTTGGCAGACTTCTTGACAAAGAGTTTACCTTCTAGTCGACTGAAGGAACTTTTGAACCTCTCAGGTTTGAGGGCAAATTAAAAAGATTTTTGAAACCTGAGAGCCTGTGAGTTGAGTTGGTATTAATATTATTTAAGAACATGTGTTGTTCATTATTGAATAATAACAAATGATTCTCATTCTACTCATAACATGGGCTTTGTTAAATAAAATAATACTAATTTCTTTATCCAACTTTTATTGTTTTTATTTACTGGCTCAGAAAATTAGTGATTTTTTTAGTCCGAGTTAAACATGGACTCAAGCCAGCTCAAGTCAAATCATTTGCAGCTCGTTCCAAGGATTTCTTGTACCATATCTGATGACTTAATACTAGCTTGTAACATAAATATAAATAAACAGTATCAGCAATCTGACACATACCTTCTCCCATAAGCTTGTCAACAACCTTTATCATGGGTAAGCGGTGGGAGTAACTATGGTAATTTTGTAGAAAAAATCACAAAAGCTCCAATAACTTTTGAACCGTAACTGTTACAGTAATGGGGGTTGGATTATTTTGCTTAGAATCATAAGGACCTCAATACATTAATTTTGATCAAAACCAGGTTTTTCCAGGCATTTTTGTAATTTTATGGTATTTTAATTGAGAAAATAACATTAGCTCAATAACTTTTGAACCGTAATTTTTACGGAAATGGGATTTGAACCATTTTGTTCAGAATCTAAAGGACTATACCATACAAAATTTTCATCAAAATTCTTTTGGCCATTTTCGAGGAAATCCGATTTTTCCATTATTTTAGAGGTTTTTATAAGAAAATCCCCATTAAAAATCAAAATTTAAAAAAATAAAAAAAAACTGGAGATACCATGGATTAGTACCTACACACCAAACTTCATCAAAATTGGACAACAGGTGTATTTGTAGCTCTTTACACATTCAGACACACTGACATCACTTTGAAAACTACTTTTTTGGGTTCAGGTGGACCCAATTTTAACCCTAGTTCCCAATAACCCTGCATTTCACTTACTCGGTACCCTTTCATTCCACATTACGCCGAGTTTGTGGGACTCCCTACTGTATGATAATTACTTTGTTACTAAACTTAAACATTGTTAATCAATTATGTTATTTAAAACATTATATCTGTAAGAATTATTTTGATCTTTATATAGCCCATTTCATGTTGATTATTATTTATTAAAATTAAATTTTTGTTTTCTAAATTTGTAATTTAGAGAAAAGAAAAGTTTTACACAAATTATTGAGCAGAGTCACTCTCAGGACCAGTGGTTGACGGTTAAGCAAAATAGATGGATAACAGAAATCCTAAAAAAACCTGTACAGTAAGTTTATTTAACAGGTTTTGGAAGAAATTAAACATTGTATGATAAAAAACTGCATATTTATATTTTGATTACTTAGACGCTACATATAAGATCAATCCAGAACTATTATTATTATCTAGTACTGGTTCAATTTATGTACAGTTAAAGAAAATTGCATTAAGAAATAATCTAAGTACCAAAGGGGTGACGGATAACAGTGAATGATGGTTAGAAGGGTGACGGTTAGTTGAGGTTCTACTATATTTTATCTTAGATTCTCCAGTTTGCTGTATCCACTACGTTTTGTAACAGCTTGTGTTGCTATCAACTGGTTGTCCATCATGGTTGGTTCCAGTGGTAGTGGCAAGAGTCATGTAGTACAATGCGCTTTGTTACTCAGAATATTGATGTTACAGGTTCTCCGCAGTCAGCTGTCTCCACTGCATTCTCTAGCAGCTTGTGTTGCTAACAACTGGTTGTCCATCATGGTTGGTCCCAGTGGTAGTGGCAAGAGTCATGTGGTACATACACTTTGTTACTCAGAATATTGATGTTACAGGTTCTCCGCAGTCAGCTGTCTCCACTGCATTCTCTAGCAGCTTGTGTTGTTAACAACTGGTTGTCCATCATGGTTGGTCCCAGTGGTAGTGGCAAGAGTCATGTGGTACATACACTTTGTTACTCAGAATATTGATGTTACAGGTTCTCCGCAGTCAGCTGTCTCCACTGCATTCTCTAGCAGCTTGTGTTGCTAACAACTGGTTGTCCATCATGGTTGGTCCCAGTGGTAGTGGCAAGAGTCATGTGGTACATACACTTTGTTACTCAGAATATTGATGTTACAGGTTCTCCGCAGTCAGCTGTCTCCACTGCATTCTCTAGCAGCTTGTGTTGTTAACAACTGGTTGTCCATCATGGTTGGTCCCAGTGGTAGTGGCAAGAGTCATGTGGTACATACACTTTGTTACTCAGAATATTGATGTTACAGGTTCTCCGCAGTCAGCTGTCTCCACTGCATTCTCTAGCAGCTTGTGTTGTTAACAACTGGTTGTCCATCATGGTTGGTCCCAGTGGTAGTGGCAAGAGTCATGTGGTACATACACTTTGTTACTCAGAATATTGATGTTACAGGTTCTCCGCAGTCAGCTGTCTCCACTGCATTCTCTAGCAGCTTGTGTTGTTAACAACTGGTTGTCCATCATGGTTGGTCCCAGTGGTAGTGGCAAGAGTCATGTGGTACATACACTTTGTTACTCAGAATATTGATGTTACAGGTTCTCCGCAGTCAGCTGTCTCCACTGCATTCTCTAGCAGCTTGTGTTGCTAACAACTGGTTGTCCATCATAGTTGGTCCCAGTGGTAGTGGCAAGAGTCATATGGTACATACACTAGCACAGTTGTGTGGCAACAAACTCCAAACACTCACTGTCAACTCTGCCATGGACACCACTGAGATACTTGGTGGCTTTGAACAGGTTTGTTGTATAACATGAATGCAATCTCGAGTCAAGCAGACATAATCAGTATTTCTTGGGTCCACAAAACCATTTTGCCTATCCCCTGCAACTGTGGAGACAATCTCATCACCGTCTTAGCTGACTTAAAAAAATCCCAATTAAATGTTCTCTAGTTTTGGAACATTGGATATATAAGAATAAGAATAATTTATTCCATTGATCTTTTTACAAATAAATAGGACACATCATATACCGGTACATTACAAAATAATCATCTAAATACAATCAAGTTACTGATACATAAAAATATTATAAAAAATACAATTAATCAGGTATAATAACTTATTTTAATTAAAATTTAACATCAAAATTACACTTGATAAAGTCACTTATGCTGTAAAAAGGATTTTGAATTAGCCAATTATAAATTCTTTAGGATTTTTTGAGAGGATAGCAGGCTTACCTGAATGGGAAAGAGTCCAATTCGTATACTACTTAATCGCACGGGAACCATTCAAAAGATCTAAATAAAACTTCAAATGGAGGTAGTTTATCAAATATACCCCCGCCGCAGCAAACCTGCTGTGACTAAACGAATTTCCATTTGTCTGAATTGATTTTCAATTAAATCTATTTAAATAACATTAGTTTTAATGAGTATCTAGGTTTGCTGCTACAATGAAACTAATAAAGTGTTTTTTTTAGTAAAATATAAAATAGCTTAGTATAATATAAATAAACATGCCAAGTTTGATCAAAATATATGCATAAACAAGCAAATTACAACATTTTACAATATTCTCCACAAGAATAACATGGAAGTTTTAAATTTACATTTTTTTTAATTTTCTCCGTTACCAATAACCGTACAAAGACACTTTGATATACTAAATCATTTTTCTTTTTTTTAGCTATTTAAACAGATTTAGAGAGAAATTGGGTAATTTTGTGTTTTGAGGGTAAAAAATGAGAAAAACCACTTTTTACCGCATGAAACCAAACTCCCATGGTCCCATCATGCTGGTTCGCGAACTCATTCCAGTTTATCCCGCCTTACACGTTTAAACCAAAATTCATCAAAATTGGACAAAAATTACTCAAGTTATCGCGTTTGCGGACATATATAAAACGGATATATTAAAATTTGAACGAATTGTGTTCTTTAGCCTCTGGGGACATCAAAATGAAAAAGTAAATTAGTCCCGGGCCTAGGTCTTACCGTGCCACCTACGTTAATAGCTAATTCCCTATAGGAATATTCGCTAAAAATAAAAATAAATGTTTATTTCAGTACCGGTATGTAAAATACTATGTTACAATAGGTAGGTACTTTGTCAGTACAAATTTTATAGTTATGCCATAGTTAAGTAATAATATACTGGCATAGTCATTAAATATGAAATCCCTCTTACATAGGCTACTGCCCGTGCGTGAGAAATTTACTTTATCAGTAAATAAACATTATAAATATAAAAAAAATAGATATTTATAAAACATGAGATGAAAGTTAATTGGTAATAATTTGGTTGAAAGAAAAAATAAAGAATAACTAAAATAAAAAATAAAGGTATACAAAATAACTGGAAGACAGTTTTATTATTTGGATAGTTAGTGCAACTTGGACTAATAAAATCCAGACAAAATTAAAAAAGCAGAAACCATTCGAATCGTCAAACTTTTGATGTTTGCTACTAGCCTGTTTGGAGATAGTGGCTTCGTAGAATTTAATGAAGTAAACGCGTTAACAATTGTTAATATATTATGTTTGGATTAGGATTTGAAATAGATACTTGGACTCTTTCTTCAAAGTCCTGTCAGTTGCAAAGTAAAATTGCAACAGCTTGTTTTCATTTAATATTTTTTTTCTTATTTCATTACGTTTAAAATATCCCCCTTGAATTAGTAGAGACGTCTTAGTAATTTTTCGTGATAGCAGGTCAACAACATCAGGGGTTGTAAGCTGTCACTATGACTAGAAACCTCAAAATATTCTTTATTTAGTTGTGCTAGTATACTCTTTTCCATATAGGGAATAAGCTACTACCGTAGGTCTCATTGAAAGACCTAGACCCGGGACCTAATTCATTTTTCGTGTTGATGCCCCGAGAGAGCAAAAACACCATTCGTAAAAAATATGTAATTGGTAACTTAAGTAATTTGGTTTGAATTCATTTCCATTCTAGCTCCTGAGCTGTTATATTCAATGTGCTAAATAGGTTTACATACCTTATAATCCGACAAACAGCTCAAATAGTAGGCTGTTTACATGTTTCGGCTTGTATACGCCATTGTCAAAACATTACAGTTGGAAAAAAATACTTATCATTGTTTACTAATGTACATAAACTTTCACACACACATACCTACAATAACGAATAAAAAATAAATAGGCCAAAAATAAATGCACCTGGAGTCTACAAACAGTTATAGTTTGCTTATTTTACTTATGGATATGTGTTGGTAAATGTATACTGGTATGAATTATACGGCGGGAGTATTTTGTTATGTATTTAATGTGACAGCAAATTGCTTTCATGGTTTTTAATTCGGTTTAGTTTTTGTTAAGAATATAAGTTGAATCGGCGATAGTTCATATCTCGCCTCCGCTCCAAATTCTTGGGTCGCTAGCGGCACGGTAGAAAATTGGTGGGTCGCTTCCGGCTCGGGTCGCTTCTGGCACGGTCGCTTCTGGCACAACACCCCCTCCCCCGTGGTCTGGAGAAAGCTTGTAAAATAACTATTGCACAAGCGTGACTTGACATTGGGCTGCTTCAACTATAATTTTGTCAAATGAACTGTGATGTTTCAAAATCAAAAACAATAATTTCGGACCATACTGCATAACAATAATGGACTGCAATTATTGTTGAACATACAATCCATTTTTAACAAACTAAGATTACAAATACAATACAATAAATAATAAAAATTACAATTATAAATAAAAATTATCTTGGTATTTTACTTGGGGTAATGAAGTTATATAGGCTAGTGTAATTCTCGGTTCATCAAGGTTCTACTGAAGGTATGTTTGGCAGTGAATAAGTGTAGAATGCAATTTATAAATTCAGGGATACACACCTTTTACACAGTTATAAAGTCTAATTTAATTGCCCAACGTCAAATCGTGAGCTAGTCTTAGTGCATTAGTGATGTTTTCTAAACTTGGCAAACCCGCAAAATGCCACTTAAGGCCAATAATCCGTTCCAAAAGCGTAAGGAAATACAATGTGAAAATAAACTTGAGATCGAACTCCTTGGCTTGTGAGAACCAGGAAACAAGATAAAACATAACCTCAAGTAAACAAGCCCAAACGTTTGACATCAGTCCTGCTGAGCTAAGGTGTTGTGTGAAGATTTTGGCTGCTAGTGTACTTAATTCAAGCAACCAATTTTGAAAATAAATGTTGTGACTTGTGATTTTCAAGAGAGAGAAAACTGTGGACTAGGCTAATTTGAAAATCTATAGTTCAAAATTGTCATTTAAGTTTATTTACACAGCTTTACATTGTTTTATAGATTAAAAATACATATGCAGCTTATTATTAACTTCGCCGAACTATCCGAATCCAAAAATATCCGAATCCGAACCTCCCAATATCCGATCCGATCCGAACCGAGCCTCAACTATCCGATCCGAAATGAAATTTCACCATCCGCACACCTCTATAAAATCATCAATCATTTGCCAATTTTCTTTTTCTAAATTGTATTTAAATAAGTCAACATTTTCATTTTTTTTTTTGTAAGCTAATATATGTACTGCCAGGTTGTATTTTACTTCTGAGAGAGTTGGTAGCAGAATACATATTAAATAAAAGTGGTACATGATCAAAACAGTGATCTCCCATAGTGATGTCAAACAGATTCCTATTAAAATTGACAATTATATTATCTATACAGGAGTTATTGCAAGTTGGTTGATTATTTGAAGGAAAGAGATTAAAAGATCGTAGAAGGTTTAAAAATCTAAGGGAAACTGGATCATTTTCACATCCAACACCCATTTCAATGTTGAGATCACCAGCAATAATAAGTTTTTGATCATGTTTTAGTATTTTTTTCAAGGCATGCTCCAATTTAGTCAGGAAAATATCAACATCACACTTTGTAGATCTGTAAATACTTAAAATAGTAACGTTGTTATTAGGGGTCCAGAAAATTTAAGGTCGGTACGGTTCGGTACGGTACAATATTTTGTACCTCGGTTCTCGGTACAAAATCGGTACGGTACGCGGCTACCCGTATTTTTGCGGTTTTCTTCTCAGAACTGTATCTAAACCATTATTTTTAACTTTAATACATAGACATTACTATGAAAATGGATAGTATCCTACATTCATGGTTTTCTAACATTAATTACTGTACCACATATTATTAAAACAAAACCTTTTACTACTACGAAGATTGTGTCAAGAAAAATCACAGTTGAGATAAAGGCTTTACCTATTTTACTCTGAGATACTTTGAAAATAGTGCATATAGTGCATAGTTTAAAAATAGGATAAGAGTTTTTATGAATAAACATCTTTGAAACATTTATTGACAAGATAATTTCACAAAACTGGTAAATTATTTCCAACCAACACAATGTCTAGTTGTTTTTTTTTAATTTTAAAAACACATAAAAACATTCAGTAGAAGACGGTGTAGTTTTGCCAGCTGTTCACAGCAGATGACAATGAAAAACTGGAGGTTATGATGAAGTAATGGCAAAGACCATTTTTTTTTATCAGCTTCAAAACTAGTTAAGTTATAAGATGGATACAATTCTTGCTAAGTTTTTTTCTGAAACTAAAATTTGGATTATCATAGAGTAAGATTTGATGTTGGGCAATTAGACTTTATAACTGTGTAAAAGGTGTGTATCCCTGAATTTATAAATTGCTTTCTACACTTATTCACTGCCAAACATAATTCAGTAGAACCTTGATGAACCGAGAATTACACTAGCCTACATAACTTCATTACCCCAAGTAAAATACCAAGATAATTTTTATAATTGTATTTGAATCGTA